TAGAAATCACAAGAATAGATAGACAAACTGCAAGGCACATTTTAGACCCTTGTTAATCCAAAATCATAAGGAATGGCAGTTCTATAAGTCTCATAAATTTGCTAAGTTATCTCTCACAAAAAATGTCCCAGTGGACACATTTTCAACAAGTGTAACAGACACAACAGCATTCAGAAATGTAAATTTCTATCCCATCAATGGGTCCCTTAATAATGATTTTGACTATGAATCCTTTTCAGAGATAAACATTCCAATTAAACACTCCTTCCTACCCTACATCTTATCTAAATTTTATCAGAAGTAAATTACTTTTGATTTTAATTATTTTTTTAAACCATTTACCCACTCAATATTTTTTTTATTCTGTAAAGTTTATTTATTAATTAAACAATCAAATCTCTTCTACATGTATATGCTTAACAATCAAATGCCCATTACTGTTAATCAACTTTTATTTACATGCGAAGAAAATCTGCAAGTTTCATGACCTTTTTTTAATACTCAGAATATGTGTTTTTCCTTCTCCCACAAATGGCCTCTTAAAACAGGAGTGACTGTACCTAGATGAGGCTTCCAGTTTAGGGTTCTGTTTCCTTTCAGGGCCTCAAACTTCTTGGTGTATTCCTCCAATGATTTCTGCATGACTTCTGGTAGCTTGATCTTTTCTTCTCGGAAGGCAGGCCAAAACTGAGCAGACAGCACCATTGAGTTCACTTCAATCTCCTGAAAGAGGGTGTTGGAATAATACTAGAGTTGTTATTTATTTATAAGTGTTGATGGGACTGATGAACTACAGAGGGCCCTGATAGAATGCATTGTTGGTAGATATATTTGGTGGCATTAATAGAACATGTATAATGCACTGCAAATATATACTGGTAATAATTATTTTTAAAATAAGAGTTTGATGGGGAACATCTACAGATGAAAAGTTGAAGTTAGGTTGCAAACCAGCTTAAGTCTCAAGGGACAAAATCCTATTATTATACCTCATTATAAATATTCTACACAACGCATTATCTGATTGGTTCTAGGTTATCACGTGATCGGGCCCTAAAACTTCATATTTCCCGTCGTCGGCACGCTTTTCATCATATTCCACCTCATCGGAACACCTAATGAATTTTCCCACAATATAGTTCTCGTTAACGTTGAAAGAAAACTCCCGAGAGTAGTAGACGTCACAATAGCTTGGTTTACGTCACAAAACTGATGACAATGTGTTGACCAAAGGGTTTTATAGTAACTTTACGTTAACAATGATGTAAATTAAAGAGAGGTGCCGAATTTGAAAGTCGATGTTTATTTCAAAGGTTTTGCTTGTTTCGGTATAATAAACAATTCATTGCATGAATGTTCGGGAAACATGAAGACTTATTCAGCCAAGAAATATCATATTCCCCTCGGGCGAAGCCCTCGGGGAATATGATTTTTCTTGGCAGAATAAGTCTTCATATTTCCCTCACTATCATGCGATAAATGTATAATATTGACAAGTCACAATTTCATATTACTGTGAACTTTGATGTTGTAATATGACAATACTGTAAATATGCTTTTATCAATTGAATCATGTGAATATTGCACACCTCTTATGAACTGAATTCATATAAACTCTACCTCTCTCTCGGCAGACTTCCTCCTCTCATCCATTATCCTAGAATTCAGTCTTTTAGAGTCTGCCACATCCTTTAACATGACTTCACAATAATGAAGCTGAGATTCTCCAAATCTTAATTTAAGAAGTTCTAGATAACGAATTTCTTTCACTATTTCATAATTAAACTGTGTCAGTATTCGATCTGCTAACAGTGTTCGATATTCTTGCACAAAGAGTTCTTTGCTTCCATAAATGTTGACTAACATACTGATGATATCAGATGCCCTGCGGCTCTTCGAGGTGCTTCCTGCAAAGGAATAATAGAAATGTCTAGGTAACAAATTATGAAACAGATGATTTACTGTTAATTGATATTAATTTTTTTTTATCTACTGTAGATCACTAAATTTTCGCGACACCTTATTTTCGCGAGATAGTCATTGACTCTTGATAAGCTAGACAAAATTTTCACGAATTGTGGTTCTTGCTCTATATAATCTTAAGGAATACTTTTAAACGCAAGAATTAAAGCACACAAATAAAGTTCTCGCGAATAAAAAGTGATTTACAGTATTTTGTGATTTTATTTATCATGAAATCAAAGCCCAAACAAAGTTTTCATTCAACTTTTAAATATGTTTACTTTTGAAACAGAGAAATTGAATCCCCATGAACCCATTTAGATCTTAAATCAACTTCTGCTTCTTGGTTTATTATCTTGGGATGAGTCTTACTTGGATCAGCATCAACAGGATCCGGCATCCAGTTCTCCCAATCATCCAGTTCATCATCACTACTGCAGCCGTCATCCAGCAATGGCTGACCTTTCTGAAGTTCTTCCAGTAACTCGTTACTGCCATCATCTGTCAGGTTTGATACAATCTGTCGAACAGTGTCATCCCTTGACCTACATAATGAATTTAAAACATCATGAACTTTAACTATTACTGTTAAAAAAATTTTTGCCTGACTGTGAGTGCTGGGGAGGGAGGGGGGATTAAAAATCCTTTTTTTCCTTAGGAATTGCATACAGGAAATACATACAGGTACACTACCTTAAATACTTCCTGACTGGGTCACACACAAGTTCAAGAATAACTCCAACTGGATCCAATATTCGGAGCGCTCGAATAGCAGCTATGTATGCTGTCAAAATGTCTGATGTATTTACACCTGAAATGCAAATTATGCAATGAATTTTGAAAGTCATTCATCCAAACAGTGAATCCATCCTCAATCAAATCAGCAAAAACTGTGTGAAAAGAATCTTAACGTCAGTTGATAAGAGTGCAGACCTGGATGTAACAGTCGGGTTTCCAGAGCAGTTTTTAGAGAGGAGACCAGTGTTCCTCTTAGGTCGGTCTTCTCTAAGCAGACCTTCAAATCCAGAATAGCCGGCTCAGACTCCGGGAACTCAATAATGATGTTAAACAGCTGATCAATGTGAGTTCTAGCAAAGGTCTCATACAGAAAGTGCAGAAGTCTACCCTTAAATCCCTCGATACAATCCGAGTAGGTGTTTCTACAGTTTCCAGAGTACACCAGAGTCAGCCAGCCTAATACCTTACTATCCAGCCACTGTAGAAATAAGACAGCACTTATATATACCAAGGCATACACTCACAGTGAGCATTTTAAAGAATAGGATAATTAGTAATTATGTACAATTTTTTTACATTTTAAGAACTCAGTTTTGATAGGAAGAAGAATACACAAACATTTACTTAGCAAACTTTATATTTGAAGAAATTCTGAACAATATTGTGTACACTTGATTTCTATTTCCTTTGAATTATTTACCCACCTCCTCTAGATTTTTTAGGTATGATGTTTCAAAATTGCCTTTACAAGTGTTTTCAATGTGATTCTTGATTCGCTCATGTACAATGGAGGTAACAGCCATACCCGATACTCTCTCCAATATTCCAATGTCATCCCTACAAAACACAAAGCATAATTCTGATCATCTTCACTAGCCAAGGGTTTCTGATACACTACTCTCCTCATCAACATGAGGAGAGTAGCATATCAGAAACCCTTGGCTAGCGAAGATGAATTCTGATAAAAAGGCAAAAACTTCCCATCTTAAATAAATTTGCATTTACTTACATGTAACCTTCTAAATGTTACATGTATTGGTAATATTTGAACACATCACCTTCTAAATTAAGAAGAGGGGGATTGAAGCAACTGAACCTTTTCTTTAGATGTTCATATTTATGAGGTTTACAACAGGAATGTTGATCTTATATACAATGTTGTTGTCTTAATTAAGAACCACTTGAGGCATGTTAAAAATAAAATGTAGCCAACTAAAAATTTTAGGATTTTACAGTGTACAGATAATTAAATGCTATTTTGATATGTTAACAATATCCACAATGGCTTAATATTCAAAGAAAATTCTTTAATTATGACGTTGAACATAGTGAAATTAAAACCATTGCAATGTTCCACTTGTACAGTCCTTGACTTACAGCTGTATGTTGATGGTGTGGAAGTTGTCCAGAATGTCTATACACACAAAGAACTATACTTACAGTTGTCTGTTGATGGTGTGGAAGTTGTCCAGGATGTCTTTACACACAAAGTACTATACTTACAGCTGTATGTTGATGGTGTGGAAGTTGTCCAGGATGTCTTTACACACAAAGTACTATACTTACAGTTGTCTGTTGATGGTGTGGAAGTTGTCCAGGATGTCTTTACATACACAGTACTATACTTACAGCTGTATGTTGATGGTGTGGAAGTTGTCCAGAATGTCTTTACACACAAAGTACTATACTTACAGTTGCCTGTTGATGGTGTGGAAGTTGTCCAGGATGTCTTTACACACACAGTCTTCTTGTTCTCTGTCACAGCCCTTACATTCCTCTTCTTCTTCATCTATAACATCTGTAATTCACTTAGTGTCATTCTCAGTTCCAAAAAACCTTAATGACTTTGATACCGGTAGTCAGAATCTTCATCTATAACATCTGTAATTTACTGAGCTTCATTCATTTTCCATTATACAAAACCTTCATAACTTAGTCAGAATCCCCCTCTTCACATGATATACTAGTAAACAATAAAACATGCTTATAATGAAGTCAAAGGGACAGCTAATTTTTTGTTGTTGTTAGATTTATAGCAATAAATTTTAAAGCCATGGGGAATGAAAATCAGGTCGCTATATACATCAATTCAAGGTGGTACAAAACACCCCTATAATCAGTTTTACCTAGTTTCTTACAAATACACAAAAATCATGAGGCCCAAGGGCTACAACACTAACCTGAGTAACTATAGTCACGCTATTCTTCACCAAATTTTCCCCATTGTTATACCTATTGTGGCCCCACCCTACACCCAGAGGTCATGATATAGAATCTTAACCTGGGACGCCGACACCGAGGGTATCACATAAGCTCCTCCCAATTTTGTTGAGGTGAGGTAAAAAGAGGTAAAACTATTTGCCCAAGGCTAGACATTTTCCGTATGGAGACAGTGGACATACAATCACATCATCTCGGGTCTTTCCGTCAGAGGTCAGAAAAACAACCTTGAATGTATTAACATCTCCGGATGTTAAAATTTTATAAATTTCCTGTTTATTCAAACATCGGATAGACAGAGATAGAAAATCCTTCTATTGTATATTTTAGGTAATATCATTACATTGAATAAAGTTAAACTCCATATCCAACAGATGAAAGGTCTCTATGCATTTATTTCAAAGATTGTGAAAAGGGGGTTTGTCATGGCGTCTTCCTAATACATTCGAGGTCGTTTTTCCACTACTTGGAAAGGCCTGAGAAGTTGCGATTGAGTGGACATACTAGTACACGTACCTTGATCTTCCTCATCCTCGGACGTGCTGTGGTGAAACACTTTGAAAGCTTGTGAATAAAACATCTCCACTGCAGTGCAAAATTTGGCAGGTAAAACAAAGAAGATGATTGACTTGATCAGAAGTATATAGGCCTCAGACAAATTATTTGTGTTGAATACTGTAGATGGCTTCCTGTTTTCAACAATCACAGACATGGAGTTAAGCCTGTCTATACATGGCAAGTATCCCATTGTAATCTCGTGTAGGTAATTCACTGCTTTTCCCAACTGTTGAGGTAAAATATCTGTTTGCTCCAAATCAAAAAAATTCCAGAATTTTGGTGCTACATTTCTTCTTAGATGCTGCTGCAAACATTCCACAAACCATTCTTCAATTATGTAGGCAAGGCCGTTTTGGGACATAATGTCAACTGCATTATGAAACTCGGTCTCATTTGGTCTCTTCTGCATTAAAATTTTAAAAAAATGACAGAATGTGATAAATCAACTAAATAGCATAGTTAGAATATCTTTATCCTTGAAAATCAGTACCTGCTATATGGCAAAATAAATAACTTTTGTTTCCTGTCACCCAGCCTACCCTTCATTTTACCCTCCAGCCCTAAAAGTTTGGTTTACATTTTCATTTTTTGTGGGATCTTTTCCCAAAATATTAAAGTCAACCAACTATATTTAATGTTTTCACAGATTGGTCTCTGCTGATACTTTTGAAAACAAAACTTGAGCAGGCCTGTCAAAAAAGTCCATGATAAACATTGACCATTTGTCACAGCACATTTTGAGATCAGCAAGTGTATTGTCCCAGAAAGTGCTCCCCAGTATTCACTTCAAAGAAACTAGAAAATCCATCACAAGTGTAGAAGATACCTTTACTATATAAATCTTCATTAACAAACTTGCTCTATAAACTGTTCCAACGTTTTCCCAGCACACTAAATATCAAAGTTGTAAAAAAGCCTGGAAATCACATAGGTCTCTGGTGTCATTGGGTCTCATTTTAGTCTCAGCGAGATTAGGATATATTAAAATTTCAGTCTGGTGTCCTTTAGAATCTCAGCCTAAAGTCACATAATATCATTTAAGTGTTTCTTGCCTGGACTATGACTTCTTGTTTTGATTACTAAAGGCTGAAATTAATCATAGGCACTTGGTTTTAGGACGGTGTATATGTGTTTTTTTTTAGATGTGTCTGAATACAGTGGACCTTCAGATATCTGGAGGCCAGATATCCGGACGCTTCAGTATCCAGACTATTTTTCATTGGAATAGAATTTTTTTAAATATGATTTTGTCTTGTTTAACTGGTAATTCAGATATTTGGATACTTCACATATAGAGACAAATTGACTAGGTACCAAAGCGTCCGGATAAATGAGGCTCCACGGTACCCTCATGAAAATAAAAAATAACAAGAGGCCCACGGGCCTTATAGGTCACCTGAGCATTATGCAACAACTTTCCAGTTACAGTGTATTGAATTTGATTCATGTTTTAAGCCAGATGCTATATGGCATTCACAATTTTGAAAGAGCACCATTGATCATCATAACAATAAACTTAGCAGTTGCTTAGCTTGGTTACTGAATACCCATAAGCAGGGTAGGGGAACAAAAATGCACTCCAACTAATCAGTAATATTAATCAATAATCAGTAGTGCCCCTAACACTCTCACATAAACCCCTAACCCTAGGTTGCACAAATTTTTAAAAGGCACCCTTAAAATTGCCTATCAAAAAGTAAATAAATGTTTTATAAATACAAAGGACCAGATTTAAAACAATTAATTCATTTTCAGTATATAAGTAGAGCCCCCCACCCCTGACCCTGGGGCCTTGAAATTCACAATTCTGCAAGATTAGGGCCCTTGTTCATCATAACTATATAGGTAGTTCATCTGCTTCATACCCAGAGACAGAGAAGAAAATTTTCAAAGATTTAATGTACAATGTATTTTCACTATATAATCAATAGAGCCCCACCCTAACACCAGAACCCCAGACCCTAGGGCAATGAAATTCATAATTTTAGAAGAGGCATTCTTGCTCATCATAACTATGCACTTACTTAGTTTATTTAATACCTAGGAGCAGAGAAGAAGATTTTCAAAGAATTCATGTATTTTCACTTTATAAACAATAAAGTCCCCCCCCCCACCAGAACCATTGACCCTGGGGCCATAAAATTCACAATTTTTGTAGAGGCACCCTTGCTCATCATAACTATGCACTTAGTTAGTTTATTTAATACCTAGGAGCAGAGAAGAAGATTTTCAAAAAATTCATGTAATTTCACTATATAATCAATAGAGCCCCCCCCCCAACACCAGAACCCTTGACCCTGGGGCCATAAAATTCATAATTTTGGTAGAGGCACTCTTGCTCATCATAATTATTTACTTACTTGGTTTATTTAATACCCAGGGGCAGAGAAGAAGATTTTCAAAGAAACCATGTATTTTTACTATATAATCAATAGAGCCCCATCCTAACACCAGAACCCCTGACCCTGGAGCCATAAAATTCACAATTTTGGTAGAGACACTCTTGCTCATCATAACTATGTACTTAGTTGGTTTATTTAATACCCAGGAGCAGAGAAGAAGATTTTCAAAGAAGCCATGTATTTTCACTATATAATCAATAAAGCCCCCCCCCCCAACCAGAACCATTGAAGCTGGGGCCATAAAATTCATAATTTTGGTTGAGGAACACTTGCTTATCATAACTATGTACTTAGTTAGTTTATTTAATACCTAGGAGCAGAGAAGAAGATTTTCAAAGAATTCATGTGTTTTCACTTTATAAACAATAAAGTCCCCCCCCCCACCAGAACCATTGACCCTGGGGCCATAAAATTCACAATTTTTGTAGAGGCACTCTTGCTCATCATAACTATGCACTTAGTTAGTTTATTTAATACCTAGGAGCAGAGAAGAAGATTTTCAAAGAATTCATGTAATTTCACTATATAATCAATAGAGCCCCCCCCCCCCCCCAACACCAGAACCCTTGACCCTGGGGCCATAAAATTCATAATTTTGGTAGAGGCACTCTTGCTCATCATAATTATTTACTTACTTGGTTTATTTAATACCCAGGGGCAGAGAAGAAGATTTTCAAAGAAATCATGTATTTTTACTATATAATCAATAGAGCCCCACCCTAACACCAGAACCCCTGACCCAGGGGTCATAAAATTCACAATTTTGGTAGAGGCACTCTTGCTCATCATAACTATGTACTTAGTTGGTTTATTTAATACCCAGGAGCAGAGAAGAAGATTTTCAAAGAAATAATGCATTTTCACAATATACTTATTTAGCCCCGCCCTAGCACTAGAACCCCTGACCCCAGGGCCATGAATTTCACAATTTTGGTAGAGGACTCAATGCTGATTACAATCATGCAAATAGTTTGACTGCTTGATGTCCAGGAGTAAAGAAGAAGATTTTTAAAGATTGCATTAATTTTAGTGGTTTTGGCCCCACCCCTCAGGCCCCAGGGGGGCAGGGATCATGAAATTCACAATTTTCGTTCCCCTTCACCCATAGATGCTTTGTGCCAAATTTGGTTGAAATTGGTTCAGTGGTTGCAGAGAAGAAGCTGAAAATGTTCAAATGTTAACACACGACACACGACACACAACACACGACACACGACGGACGACGACGGACGAAAACGGATAGCAATAGGTCACCTGAGTTTACTCAGGTGACCTAAAAATTCGTTGAAATTAGCATGTTTTAAAAATGTCATATTTACTGTATATATAAAGAGTAAAGGAGCACTACTCGCCATCTTGGATTTCAGGGGGTGCCTGGGTTCAATATTGATTTAAATCAATATATACATTTCTCCTACCGGTGTCGGGTGAGATCTAGCTTCAAAAATGATTGAATAACGACTTCCAAATGTCTGCAGATTTGAACTTGCCATATAAAACATGCAGTAAGCTTAAAAGTCCTCTATACCAAGTACAGAAAATGAATTCAACGTAAGTGCCGATTTCTAACGATGAAAAATGTAGAGGCGTCCTGAAATTACATGAAAAATCTAGAGAGGTCAGAAAGCGCACCAAACTTGTTCTCTCTTAGGGCAATCACTATACAAGATAATTTATCTAGTCAGATGACAAAGTTACAAACCAAAAAAATATAAAGGCTACTGCAAGGATTCTATAGACTTTCCCCAAAGATGTTGGCCAAGGGACATAACTTTTGAAAAGTGTGGATTCAACTAACATTTCAGGCCGTATTACCATATTTGGCCGAGTATAATACGCATTGATGTAAAATACGCACCCCCTTTTTGTGTCTGGAACTGGGGGAAAAAACGCAGTTTGGATGTATTATACGCAACAGAAAATTTTACCAAACGATGTTCTGAACTTTGAAAATCGCGTTAGTTTGTAATGAAAATCGGCGCGAAGATTAAGTGTCAAAAATTCACAGAACACACATTTTTTTTCAAATACATTTATATTTTTTTCTTAATCTGCAATTTCCATATCGCGGCAATCTGGAGAAAATTAATAATTCATGAATTTCAACAAAGCACAAGATAATGTTGCGTAAAGGTGTTAACAGAATTTATTTTTTAAGCATACGGTGATTTTGAAATAATAAGTGGCCATATAATTCTTTGGTGAAATAATTTTATATCAACAAAGCATGAGATATTGTTGCAAGTTTAAACAGTTGTCATATTTAATTTTGGTTTGAGGTAATCATGCTGAAAAAAGAAATTGAAACATCAAAGTATTTTAAAAATTAAGTAGACTACGATTTTCCTCTTCTGAATCGTCGCGGATATTTTATTTTCTACAGAGCATGAATAAATGATAACACTTAAGTTTTAGCTTACTTCATATTTAATCTGTTAAATCTCAATTATTTAAACAAGGGTTCGATAAGTATAAGATAAGGTAAAATTACATTTAACAAGTGTTTAATTGTTTAATGTGTCGTAATCAACACACGCTCACACATACGAAAGGTTACAAACCGACCCCCGCTTTTTAACAAAGAAAATAACCAATTTAGGCAAAGCAATTAAGGACAGTGAAAATAATCATCGCTATAACTATGAAACATTGCTTTGGAGTCGGTAGACAATTAATTGCCCAGAGGGGTGTAACGGGTGTTGAGAGGTAATTATCAAGTAACCAGCGCAAGTGTGTCACGACATTGGCTTCCTTTCATTGGGACGTATAAAGGGGTGTTTGTGTTGCAGTGAATTTTCACTGAGTTATTTAAAAACTAAAATAAAAATTTTATTTTATTGTATTTCATTAAAAAATGACTTATTACTTTGTCAGGCAGATAAGGTGCATATGTACTATGATTACGGAAGCACGTGACAAAGGAATGTGTTAACGTCTTAAAATAGCATCGGTAATGGCGGCCTACATGGAGACGATAAACATGGAGCTCATATTATTTTAACTTGCTTTCTCATGTCATTTTAGCATCAAAATATTATGAAAGTGTTATTTTTAACAAGCATACCTTCCAACAATAACTTTCCGAAGTTTAAAAATGACAATAAACAAAAGAAGTTGTATACAGTAAAACTCGTTTAGTACGAACACGGATATAGCAAATTCACGGAAATAGCGAAGTTTTTCTGGGTACCCGGCAAAATTCTTAACAAATCTTAGTAAAATTTTACGGTTATAACGAACTCTGATATAACGAATTTACGGATATAGCGAACTGATTTTGAGTCCCGTTGAGGTTAAATATAATGAAATTTACATCCTTTATAACGAACTCTCAAAGATTATTAAAAAAATGATAAATTAAACTGACTCTATTTCTGTTATGCATTTGTATATAAAATCCAATTCATAATATAACCTTAGTTATCGAAGTTATGTTTTTTAATATTTGCTTTCCTAACATATTTGGTAGTAATACCTGAAGGAAAACATGCATATTGCGAATTCGCTATAATGGTTATACGAATTCGTTATACGGATATAACGAATTACGGATATAGCAAATTAAATTCTCTGGTCCCCAGGACTTCGCTATAACCGAGTTTTACTGTATGTCTCTTGGTAATACTACGGTATGTACGTATGAAAGCCGTGTTTCACCTGAAAGAAAAACTTATCAAAATCCCATTGTGATGTAAAATACGCATCCTTTTCTAACAGAAATTTATTTTAGGAAAAAAGTGCGTATTGTATTCCCCCAAATACGGTAATGGAAACAAGTGGTCCACGTCTGGGCATGAAATCATCCAGTCTAGTCCATAAACTATTTCTACTTAAGTAGCTACTTATATATAGCTACGTAGGTATTTATACCTACTCAAAGTAGCAACATACATTTTTACTATATATACACTAGCTATATTGCATCGTTCCTGGATTTGGCCAAAAATGTATGTAAAGCAAAAAGTAGTTAAAATAGCTACTTTGGGTAGGTTTACGTTTAAAATACCTAGCCTGTCCTAGGTAGCTATACTGTAAGTAGCTACGTAGGTAGAAATAGTCTTTAGACATGCTAGACTAGCTGGACCTGACCCTTAACAGGTCCAGCACAATACCCTGATAAAGGTATATAGCTTGATAAAGCTATATAGCTTTATCAAGGTATTTAAAATACCTTGATCAAGGTATTTTATGTAATGAAAATTCAAAAAAATTCTTTAAAAACTGAAAGACGAGTTCTGAGTTGTTGTCAGTAAATTCATCCATGCATGTAAAGTACTCAAACACAAACAAATCAGTATAAAAACCTGTCGTGTGAGGAGACGTTATTTTATGCTTTCTTTTTGATACCAGAGTGTTTTTCATGCACGAGTAGACATACTGACAAAAACTCAGAACTCGACTTTCAGTATTTAATTTTTAGAGATTTTTTTTGAATTTTCATTACATAAAATACCTTGATCAAGGTATTTTAAATACCTTGATAAAGCTATATAGCTTTATCAAGCTATATACCTTTATCGGGGTATTGTGCTGGACCTGCTTAACAGGTCCAGCACAATCTCTTGATTAAGCTATATAGCTTTAAAAAGCTATATAGCTTTATTAAGCTATTCAAAATAGCTTGATAAAGCTATTCATATGCAACTTTTTATAAAAACGTTTTTTGAAAGAAATAAAAAAGTCGCAAGTATTTGACTATTCATATATGTACTATGGACTTTCAAAAATACAACCTAAATCCTAGAAAGTTCTTACATTGCTGCTGTTGAATACTTTAAGCAAAATATGAATTTCCATTGTTTGAGTGACTGTGTGTGCGGTGAGGCATGGGTAAGTATGATTGCTTCTCGTTGTGCTGAACTGTTACTAATTAGGGCTGTCACGGGTACCCGAAATGACCCGGAACCGCGGAACAATTAATTCGGGTCGGGTACGGTTCCGTTTTTCTGGAATTCGGTTCGGTTCCGATTTGTATAATAGAGTAGATTTTACTATAAAATGGCGTCAAAAACGAGAGTATTGTTAGTAAATTGTCATTAAAAGGCAGGGTTTCAGATTGGCGTCGGCCATTTGCCAATAAAAGTTTACCTGCCATGTTGGCCTATAATTTGACATTGAACAGACACAATGGCCGATTATCTTTTGTATGTAAAGGCCAGTTGTATAATTTTTCCTCCATTCAGATCCGATTGTTTTTCTCTACTTTCTGCAACTGCCGATTCAGTCAGCCAATGACATTTTGGTATAAATAGATCTTGACAAAATACTCTATAATTTTATTTCCAAACCCAACTGCAAGGAGCATAAAGTAGTGATGAATGTTTAAAACATCGAAGAAATCCATGCCATGTTGTTATTTTTACCGCCACGATTGAATATGGGGTCGGACTAATAGCAGGAAACGGACAATGTTGCAAGGTTTTACAAAGGGAAAAAAAATAGTCTAGGTAATCTTTAAACGTAATTATACATTGAATATCATCAGAGATACAAGTCTAATTTTTGGATTACTATTTTTAAAAATTGTAATCCCAAGAAATAAATACATTTACATGTAATGAAAGTGGGACTAATATAAGTTAAATACCCATTGAATGGAATTAAAAAAAAAACAATTACCATTCTGTTTCAATATATTAATTTTGTTTAAAAGAAACAAAATAATATTTCCACCTTATTAAAAGGAAAATTAATATACAAGTTTGAATATTTTATGTAATAAAATGACTATTTTGTAAAAGTCTGACAGAAATCTGAGTTAGTTTAACTTTTCTATTGGCCTATAATTTTAGGAAGTTTAGGACAGAATGGCCTATAACTTTTCTGGTAAATATGCCAGATGTCCTGTAGTTACTTATTTCAATCTGAAACCCTGAAAGGTGATTTAAAAATAATTTGGTACAGTTGTTGTGTAGTCAGGAGGCTACTTTAAACTAGTTATAATGTTGCAATTTCTAAGATTAAATGAGAATATTCTTTTTATTGTTGAAAATAATACAAATCATGAGCTTTTCTTCCATTACCTACCCGACCCGAGAAACCCGAAACCGAACCTCAAAAAATCAGAACCGACCCGACCCGAAAAATTTTGGAACCGTGACAGCCCTATTACTAATCAATTATCCTGTTGGCCATAACTGGCCTCTTTTATAATTTCATTCAAGAAAAAACTGTGAGGTCATTCTTCAATAGCCCCAAAACTTTTGAAACTTGAAGTACAAAGTCTCTCAAGGAGACGCAATTTGGTGAGTGATTTTTACATGCATTGTATTCAGAAGAGAACAAAGTTTAATATTTCCACTGCACCTAGGTGCGACTTTTTGCACAAGTTGAAAAAATAACACATTTGAGAAAAAAGTCTGAGAAAATAGCTCAATCAAGCTATTCTGAATAGCTTAATAAAGCTATATAGCTAAATCAAGCTATATAGCTTAATCAAGAGATTGTGCCGGACCTGCTTAATGAGATTATGTGACAGACCGATCTGAAAGTGCAACAGCTGCTCGTCAACCAGTAATGCCATCAGAAAATATTACTTCTATAATCTCACATACACTATTTCGATTAAATAATTTACTTACATTACCAATATTCGGTGATAACACTTCAGTAACGACTATCCAAGCTTTGCTGGCCACTTCGGTGTTGATTTTTGCCGCCATGATGGATTTTTTTCTTGTATATAAAAAAGAAATGAAGGACGACCTACCAAATTCCGGATTTGTATCAAAAAATTATTGCTTCGGTAAATCTCAAATAACTTCGCGGGAAATGCGAATTAATTAAAACATTAAAAGTTTTTTTTAGTATACAGTGAGATATGTCATTTTTAAAGCGTGCATAAAATTTCCGTGACATTCTAGTGTATATGAAGCAGGAAGGTTTAAAAAAAAAAAATAATAATTAACACTGCGCACTGAAAAAAATGTTACGAGTATAGTTCGAATTTCCTCAAAAATACATTATATAGAGAATATACAGTATCCTTGACCCAAGCACCCATGGTTATGGGGTGCAAACATGAACTTTTTAAAAGGCCGTTTCTAAGAATTCAAAGAACCTTACGCTTGAAACTCATTGAGAAAAGTTGTTGCAAGAAAAGATTTCAATAAATAAATAAACAACAGGTAACTTTTAACCAGAGTCTGATATTACAGAGTTCACCTCAACGAATGTTGTCTTTAAGTAAGGCAAAGTTCCACAATTAACTGATATTCTAGAAGTTAATTAACATTCCAAAATTTATGCAATTTTGATCTGATAGGGCATGTAGTTACAGTGTACTTGGACGGTAATAGACTTATCCAAAAACTTCAAACTAGTTGCTCATCAAGAAAATCAGTATCTGAAGCAAGTTTGAGAGATTGAGAGTGTTCATCCCTTGCTGCATTATCTATGCAAGTTTGGTTAATATAGGCCAATTATGCCTTATAGTTTCTTAATTGTTGATAGAACTACGCCCATAACTTTCACCTGGTCCATGATCTGGTAATTGTATACTGTAAAATCCTTATTTTTCGCGAGAACTTTTTATCGCGAACTGGCTCTTTAACGTCAAAACGCGAGAATTATAATTCGCGAATGGACTGTTGATTAACAGAATTAACATAGATTTCAGCATTATAAAAATAAAAGCGAGTAATATTTTTCCCGAGTGATGCTTCTTGCGAAATTACGCGGAAATTAATTCCTCGCGTATAAAGCAAGGCCATTTGTTTGCATCCTTAGATGTATCACCCATAGGGCATATACTTGCTTTCGAATGATCGTGCTCTAAAATTTTAACCTGTTCACTAATCCATAAAATGTAGGTCAGATTCAGCATCCGAAGCAAGTCCATTAATGTGCGTCTTTTGATCTTTCATCTATGCAAGTTTGCTCAACATAGATCTCATACTTACTAGGAAACCTGCATGAAAAACTAACATTTTCACTGATTCGGAAAATGTAGGCCAGATTAATCATCTGAAGCAAGTCTGGTACTGGTAGTAATATCTTTAGACGCGTCTTTCAAACAAAAACAATATTGCACCAAAAACTGCGCTTAAAATGTCAACCTGCTCAAAAACATTAACGTGGTCATTACTTTCCTGACACTGCAGCATCTGACACCTTATCTGGTACAATGAAACACATAAGAAGCATTTTCCATTCATGTCTGATCAATATAGGGCATAGAAATACTTAAAAAGAAAACTGTCCTAAAAACCTTAACCTGAAACGCCGACGCCAAGGGTACAGGTGTATCACACAAACTCCCCTAACTTCGTTGAGATGAGCTAATAAAATCCACTAGACTGGGAACAGATACCTTCCCGATTTTCAACCATGGCTTAATATTAATATTTAAGCATTGAAGGTGAAATTTTCATCTGCTCCAATTTCATCATTTTTTTAAATTCCCAACACTGATTTTCCTCAACAACAGCAATAGCATCCCATTGTAATTGCTTGACGTATACTGTCTAGTGTCTACTTAAAACATATTTGGTCTATCTTTATTAAGATAACATTGAAATACGAGGGAGTATCAAAAAGTTCGTGGACTAGCGCCATAAAGTTTATACCGCTTTACGTACATCAATGAATTATAAAATATCTAGTTAACATCATCTGTTCTATCTATAGAATAAACCACAAATCATAAATTTTATCTTTTAATAAATTAGTAATGTTTTTGTAAGCAATGGTATGACAAGACGGCGCAACCTCAAAAACGACGTTTTTTCGACCTATGTGTAACTGTGGAAAACTATTTTGATATGAACGTTTGACGTCCAAAATTCCGTTTTTTTTCAGGTATGTGTTGGGACACTATTGTTCAATTAAATACGGATTTTTTTTTACTTCATTCTGGAAGTTCTATGAAATTTTATCGGAAATTTTACATGGAGTAACCAAAAAAAAATTGCCTTGAAAATGACGTCAAAAAAGGGGAGGCGTTTCCTTTTCCAATATCTATAAAGTTTTGTCCCTGAAAAAAAGTATATGCCTATAGAAAATGATTAAACTCGAGAAAAAAAATATGCATCCAGAATACTTGTTTTTTAATGTCAAAATAGGTCCAGAGAGAAAAGGGATGCACAGTTAATGCCGATTTGTAGTCAAGGTGTGAAAAATCAATCACGTCAAAAAATTACGTTGATCATGTGTTGTAGATATTAAACTCCAAAAATCAAACTATGCTCGTACAATCAAGCGAGGATCTTTCCCAATGTATAAATCCATTTAGAATATTATATGCATTGATAGCCGCTGCATGTTGATGACATTGTAAAATCATATAAACAAGACAGGTTGAAGTCCTAACTCAGCTCCAGGGAATCTCATCAAAATAAGTGTATGGGGTAGATGGAGCAGACATTGAAAAACAATGACGTTGTAGGAAGTCATAAAACTAAACGGCGACGGCGCCGGGTGATCATATAATGTCGTTTTAATTTTATAATAATTTGGGAAATAATGAACGTATCAAGCTAGTATTTTCAACATTTCTTTATTTTTTTGTTGCTTTATGTTCCTTATAAATTTTGTAATCTCAGACTACATAGTACTAATCTTATAGCGTCACTCCACGAACTTTTTGATAATCCCTCGTAAATAGGAATTTTCCTGTCTGACTGACGAATGAACATCTCGAGACTCGATCAAACAAAGCGCCCATTGTAGAACAATCAAGAGAGCTTTCACTACTACATGCCTAGCCATCTAGCAGTACTTGTTTTGTGAGAGAAACTCACATTACGTATACACACAAGACCAAACTTAACATGAGTGAGTGACTCTCTTGTCTTATATAGTATACAAGCTTGTTATCCGTTAATATTGCCTGAACATTTGCATAATCGTTTTGTCTACGTTGTTCAAAGGGCCATAATTTGATTATCGAACTTTGTAAGAAACTGACAGTATGCAAATTTTGCAACAAACTTTCAGCCGCAAGAGGAAATTGTATATAAAGGGTGACTTTGGAGGGTGGATGGTGGGGAATGTTTCTAAAGGGCATTAACTAATTATGCTTGTTAAAATACAAGTATAACCTACTGCACCATAATGCACTCTGCTGCAATACACTGCAACATATTGTAGTGCCTAGCAAATCATCCACTCAAAATAAACTTAGTCAGTTTGTTGTAACTGAATGAAAAATATGATGAAACACATTTTTCTCTTTAGTGTTTTAAAAAAAAAAGTTAAAATAAAAAAGAAACAGACTGAACGAACTATTTTATTCACATTCTACTAATATATGACTGTTCTCTTTCATATAAATCTCAATTAACAATCCAGTAATTATATCGAAAGAATTATGTCGGAGGACTTTTTCGACAAAGTTACGCACTGATAATATTTTATCGAAGGACTAGTTTGGATATGCACATAACATTCTGAAGAAATGATCAATCCTCTTTGACTGAGAAGGGTTTAATTTTATTTGTGAGAGAATAAATATATCTTTTCTAAATATAAGAATTTGACGATACTTTATTGCAATGCATTTACACTGCAAATTTTAATTTTTCTTAATTTTGTGTTTTGAAATAACAGTTGGATGGATTTTATTTAATTCAAATTAAATTAATTAAAATCTGGATGGAATTTAATTAAATCAAATTTTCTTAATATACAATTGTTCTCTTTCATATGATTCTGAATTAAATTCAAATCAAATTAATTAAAATCTGGATGCATTTTAATTAAATCAAATTTTCTTAATATACAATTGTTCTCTTTCATATGATTCTGAATTAACAATCCAGTAATTATGACAAAAGACATGTTGACAGAGTTACGTATTGATTTTTTTCTTTTTGAAATCAAATGTCCAGTTAGCGTTTGCGAAAAATATACTGCATGCGCACTCTTCTGCAAAACAATGCTACCCATTGTAGTGCCTGGCAAATTATCCAATCAAAATAAACTTAGTTGTTTTTTTATTTTTTTGTAATTGAATTAAAAATCTGATTCTTTAAATTAGTGTTTTGAGAAGAAAAGTTTTATGGAAAAAACAGACCGGATGAAATATTTAATTTATTTTTTAATTGATATATGACTGCATGTATTCTTTCATACAAATTTCAATTAACAGTCTACAGCACTTAATTATGTCTGGGGACTCTTTCGACAAAGTTGTACGTATTGATAATTTTTTATCGAACGACTAGTTTGGACAAGCAAAAAATATTCTGAAGAAATCAACACTCCTCTTTGACTGGTGAGTAATTTTATTTTCACCCGCAAGCATATTAATGCTTCGTATCTTCATAATCTACCTATACCTATATTGCACTGCACTACAATGTAATGGCAATCAAACATTCAGAAGTCCAATTTTGTTTTACATGATTTTTTTTTTTTAATTGAAGATAAAATTGAAACAAAATGTCTTTAATTTTTATTTTTCTATTTTAAAAAGTTAGGGACAGACTGGATGATCTTAAATTAACAAAAAATCAGCTAGTGCAGTGCTGCAATGCATCCCATTGTAATTGCTTGACGTATACTGTCTACTTAAAACATATTTGGTCTATCTTTATTAAGTTAAACATTGAAATAAATAGGAATTTTCCTGTCTGACTGACGAATGAACATCTTGAGACTCGATCAAACAAAGCGCCCATTGTAGAACAATCAAGAGAGCTTTCACTACTACATGCCTAGCCATCTA